CTGAAGGGTTTCAGGTTTGATTCTGGTCAAGGGCATGTACCCTGGTTGTGGGCACATCCCCAGTAGGGGGTATGCAGGAGGCAGCTGATTGATGTTTCTCTCTCATCGATGTTTCTAGCTTTCTATCCCTCTCCCTTCCTTTCTGTAAAAAATCAATTACATATATATATATATATATATATATATATATATATATATATATTTTTTTTTTTTTATTTTTTAAAAAAAAATTTTTTTTTTAAGTGAGGGAAGGAAGAGAAGGGGGACACTGGAAACTGAAAGTTGAGGGAGAGATATATATTTTTTCTAACTAGAGATACTAGGGGTATTTAAATGCTAATGGACAGAAAGAGAATGGAGAGAGTGCAAATAAGATAAAAAGAGAAGAAATAATGTTAGGAGGGTCTCTGGGAAGAAGGGAGGAGACAGATTCAAAGGCTGGAAGGGTTGAGCCTGGGGGAGGAGACAGCTTCCAACAGTGCATGGGAAGCTATAAATAACTATCCAAATAGTGAATGCAAGATACTGCAGATGTGGGAGCGTATAGGTTTGGTGGTAAAAGTCTCTGAGCAGTTCCCCTCAGAGGCTTCCGGTTTCTCCACGGAGCAGGAGGCAGGGTCATTGCTGAGAATGAGAGACTGACAGGGTCCAAGGAGTAGGGCTTAGAAAAGACCCAGCGTGGCTCCTCCATGTTCCCCTCACCACATTACAAAGGCTCTCATTACTGTGGGGTCCGTCTCACAGGCCAGATCTGGCGCTCAGCCCTAGTTCAAAGGCCGACTGACAGCCACAGGCAGGGGCTCCATCCCCAGGGGCAGACTCCCATTGCTCCAATTCAGGAACCAGAAACAGCAGCGAACTCCAATCCAAGGAGAAGCTGAGGGGCCTGGCCAGCAAGTTCACTCTGATCAGAAGGCCTGTCAGGAACTAGGTCAGATCACCTGAGGTCAGACCACCGGAATGTTTGATCACAGCAGGCTGGCCCCAAACTGACTCCCTTTCCCCAGGAGAGGTGCCTGAGTCTATATCCCCATGGCTGATCAAGCCTTTTGGTGGGCACTTATCCCCACCCCCCTAACCCAATCAGGTGGGGGGTTCGCTCCTTTGGAGCCATTTGGCTCCTTCAGGAGGTGCCCTTTTTGTCCCTCTCAGAGCTCATCTACTATGGGTGAGTGTCAGTTAAGTAACTCCTTTTCATAGCAAAGAATCCGCAGGGAACATTATAACAAACACTTCACCTCTAAGCCCCTTGATGGCATGGGTACTGCATCATCTTCCCGGGTCTATGTCTCGCTGCAAGGGAGAGCACCTTTTATCTGGGAAGGACCAGATAGTAAATGATTTAGCCAGGGGTCCTCAAACTTTTTAAAGTGGGGGCCAGATCACGGTCCCTCAGAGAGCTGGAGGGCCGGACTATATGAACTACTAATTCCTACTGTAACACCTCGGCTGCGCTCACTGCCCAAATAACCTGGCGGGCCGGATCAGACTCCTCTGTGGGCCGCATGTGGCCCGCAGGCCGTAGTTTGAAGACGCCTGAAAATTTTAGGCTCTGTGGCCTGAATGTCTGTGTCGAAACTACTCAAAGTGGCTTATTGGCTCATCAAAGACTAAATGTAAATAAACAGGTGTGGCTCATCCCAATAAACTTGATTTACAAAAGCAGGTGACCAGCCCGAAGGGCTGTATTTTGCCCACCTTTCCCTCCCCTCTCCCCCCCCCTGCCCCCCCCCCTCGCCGCAGTGCTAGCATGACTGAGGCCTACCTCACTAAATCTATCATGATAGCCTCACTTCCCAAAATTTCTTTCCACTGTATTTGAGCAGATTAAAGTTACCTACAAGGAAGGTGCTAGGTGTGAGCCAGCAAGATTTTCAAAGCTTTCCAAGCATACATGGATCATTCTATGGTAAGATATTGAGCTTTTTAAAATATCCTTCTTGATTGGCGGTTGCTTAGGAAACTGCCCAGGGCTATGCCTGCAGATGGAGATGCTCTAAGCTGGCATCACTTCTCTCTGCTCCCCTGCAATCACATCCTCAGAGGGGGTACTCATCAACGCCCTCTCATTACAGGTCATCTCTCTCCTCATTTGTACTTTTCTTAGTTTTCCCACAGCCATTATGTTCAGAAACAACAAAATCAGAATCTTTGTTAGAACAAAGGCAAAGAGCTGAGAAAAGAGCCAGAGCGATCCATCAGCCTTGGCGTGGACTTCTCTCTGTTCTATTATAGATGGAAACCTGTTTCTGGTTATAAACCTGAAACTCTTCCCGTGAGAAAGAGGGGAGAGCCGTTCAGTTTTGATTGCACTCAGAGGCTGCTGTTTGTCTTTGACTTCTCGGAAGAGATGGCTATCCTGTTCGTGGGAGCAAGTAATTAAAACTGTTTGCGGATCCTTCCTGCGGACTCCTGATCTGCTAAGGACATTCCCAGCAATGTTGAGTGTAACAGGGTTTCTGAGTCCACACCAGCCTCTGCTTTCAGGACATCTGATGCAGAGCTCTCCAGCTCACTTAGGAGCATGACAGAGAGAAGAAAATACAATTGTCTCCTAAAAAGCAATTTTTCAAAAACTGACTCAAAGAGCTGATCTTATTCCAAGATCACTTCCCAATTTGGGAAGAAAAAAAAATGCTAATTTTTCAGTAACTTAAAAAGGTTTCAACACCTCATGTTTGCCAAATATCTATTGGTACAAATTAGCAATTGGACTGAAGGTTTTCAACCCTGGCTGAGGTAAGAGACTTAGAACCACCAGCCAAGGCTTTTCAAATCTAGAGATGCCAGGGCCCTCAGACTTGGGGGTACAGGGCTGGCAGGGAGCAGATGCATCCATTCACCATGCTGCAGGCTGGCACAAGGCCTGATGGGAAAGTGCTGCCAGTCAATATTTGCTGAAAGAAATCGTATCATGGCTCCTTCTGGGGATGGTTCAGGAAACCAGAGTCAGGAATTTTTTCAAAATTAACTTTTTACTGTTTTACTCTTTTACACTAGTTGAATTTTTACATTATTCGTTTTTAAAAATATTTTTATTGATTTCAGAAAGGAAGGGAGAGGGAGAGAGAGACAGAAACACTCATGATGAGAGAGAATCAAGGATCAGCTGCCTCCTGCACGCCCCTTACTGAAGATCAAGCCAGCAACCCTAGGCATGTGCCCTTGACCAGGAATCGAACCTAGGACCCTTCAGTCTACAGGCTGATGCTCTATCCACTGAGCCAATCCAGACAGGGCCATATATTCACTTTTTATTTTAAAGAGTTTATTTTATTTTTTTAGAAATACAGGCTATCACCAAAACCAGTTTGGCTCAATGGATAGAGCATCAGCTTGGGGACTGAAGGGTCCCGGATTCGATTCCGGACAAGGGCATGTACCTTGGTTGCGGGCATATCCCCAGTAGGGGGTGTGCGAGAGGCAGCTGATCAATGACTCTCTCTCATCAATGTTTCTAACTCTATCTCTCTCTCTTCCTCTCTGTACAAAATCAATAAAATATATTTTAAAAAAAAATACAGGCTATCTAAAACTAAAATAGCTAAGATAATTTAAATCCTCTCAAGTCAAAGTAACTACAGTTTAAATATATGTAACTATAAAAGCTTTCTCTGTAAAGTAAAGCAAATTAATATGTCTGCTGTCCTAGGAACATATCTTCAGTGATTCTGTAAAAGTGAAAATAATCCTCGTAAACATTTATTTCATGCTTACCAGGTGCCAGTGCATAATCTAAGTGCTAAATATATATTAACTCACTTAATCCTGTTTTATAAGCTCTCTGTGAGGTGAGGAAACTCTCCTCTCACTGAAGGTGAGAGAGGAACTGAGGCCCAAAGCAATTGGTCGTAAGGTAACAAATGGAGCAGTCTGACCCAAGTGCCCAGGTGGCAAGCCACTGTACCACACAGTCTCAACTCATATGCAGAGTTGGAAGCATGACCAAGCTTAAATCCCTCAATTGGTTTAATAAATAGATTGTCATCTGGAGAGATCTCAACAAATAAATACTTGTTGACTGAATCAACGGAGACTCATACCAGAGAAGGCGGGCCTGCCTCTTTCAAAGGGGAAGTGGGGGGAAGGACTCCCTCACCCTGGATGAGGGATCTGGGCCAGGGACAGGACAGAGGCCCTGGTTTTCCCCAGTCTGCCTCCAGTGTCTGTCCCAGCGGCCTGTTATCAGCGCATCTCAGTGGCCTGCAGGAGCCCGGCTTTTGTCCATCCTGCCACCAGCACCTAGGAGAGCGCTCCGAAGTTACCAGCTGGGATGGATGAAGCAGCTGCACTACCTGAGGCCTGGTGCGGTAAGTCTCAGCTCCCGTTTACCTCACTGTCTCTCAGTGCTGGGCCAGGGCCTGGGCCTTGAACTTGATAACAGTTGAACTACGGATCGTTTTGCAGAGGGCACCCATCAGGCTCTCGCACACCTTCACCAGAATTATTTGCTCCAGAATCCATGGAAAGAGGCAGCCTCCCCACAGCCACTGGGCCGTGACTCAGCTGATACGCAGATGCTCCAAAAAAGCATAGAAGGCAGGCCTCGCTGAGGCCCGGACCTAGGCACGTCTCCTTCTCAATCAGCCTGAGCCTTTCCCATGAAAATAGTCATATTTCACTTGTGTAATTAAAAAAAAAGAGAAACCCTTTATATTTCAAGAGGCCTGCTACTGCAGAGTAAATAATGCTATTTCCCCCCAAAATCAGCTTTTTTTCACATTGTTTCCCATCCTGGTGAAAGCACACGCCGTGGTGAGACACTCTGTGGGGTTTGGAGGGGTTCTGAGGCACCGTCTAGGGGTGCATGCCATTTCAATAACAGTCCCATCTGGAGTGAGAGTCCTCATCCAGACTCATAGCATGAGAAAACCCGAAAGACAGAAAACAACGCCCCCAAACCTCTGCTCCCAGCACCCAGCCCTGGCCTGGGGGGTCACCAGGCTCCCCGTTCTGCAGGCCAGGGTTGCCACCCCCCAACCCCTCCGGCGCCCATGTACCTTGGATGGTCCTCTTGAAGAACGCCTTGCAGGCCTCGCAGGAGGCCACACCGTAGTGGTAGCCGGAGGCAATGTCCCCACACACGAGGCACAGGCGCTTGGGGATGGCGTTCATCATGAACTCGCACTTAATGGCCGGTTCCTCCATGATGATGCCGCCACAGTCCTCGTAGCTCTTGCGACACGGGGTGCCTCCCAGCCCGGCGCCTACAAACATGGGCGGGGAGTCCAGGCCATTGGCTTGGGGGCCCAGGGCCAGGCCGAAGCCACCGCTGGCGTCCGAGGAGCCGCTGGGGCTGTGGTGGCTGAGGGCATCGATACCCGAGGATGGGCTGGACGGCTCGGTCTTGATGAAGGAGCCGCAGCTGGAGCTCAGGTGCCGGTCGTCCGCGGACATCCTGTTCAGCAGCCTGCGGGCAGAGGTGGGGAATCAGGTTTGCGCAGGGCCCTGAGGTGCATCTCGGACCCAAGAATTAGCTCCGGGCCCGGGCACCGCAGGCAGGGCGGCTGGGAGGGGAGCTATGCTAAGGCTTCAGGGAGATGAAATTGGAGGAGGTTGATTGGACCTGAAGCCACAACAGCCTAGACATAGGGGTGTCGAACTCAATCAGAGAAGGGGCCAAAATCTAAAATCCAGCCTAAATCGAGGGCCGAATGGTTTACTGAACAGTCATAAACTGTCATTGTGATGGAAACGCAGCGGAGTGCAGTGATGACAGCGCGGTGCGGGCCACATTGCAAGGCCTGGAGGGACGGATTTGGCCCGCGGGCCTTGTGTTTGACACATGTGGTAGAGCAAGTTTCCATCAAGACACTCCCAATCCCTAGAACCTTCAGAAAAAAAAAAACCCCACAAACTATGTTTAATCAATTAGCTTCAGGTTAGGCACCCAGTTCTTGGCAAACTGCTGGCTTGAGGGTGACAAAAAAAGGTAACAACTCGGCTAAAGTATTTGGCCAAACTTTCTGCCCAAGAATACAAGATGGTGGCTGCCCTTGAAAGTATGGGCGTGCCAAGCCAGGGACCAGACACCCCCTGGGTAGCCCATCTTACCCATTCCCACTGGTGCTTCAGGTAAGTCCAAGCCTGGAGCTTCCCAGCCCACCACCATCACCGGGATTGGAACCAGAAGACCTCCCACCAGGCCAAGAGGCAGGGCTTGTGGCAAAAGTCCCAGCTAGACTGGTTGCCTCTGGGCTTTGCCACTGGCCCAGGGCACATGGGAGGGTGGCTCCAGGCCCCTCTCCCATGGCCCTGCCTGGCACCCTGAGCAGGCAGGCTCCCACCCAGCCCCTCACCTCTGGACACTGTGCTTCCGTCAGGCAGTAAAAGAGAACCTTCCAACCCCAACTCCATCATCCTCAGCTGTTTGTAACTTTAAATGTCAACGCTTACGTGCCCCTGCCTCACCGGGGGAGTCGGGAGCATTTCCAACATGACAGAAACATTAGAAAGCACCCAGTTTCCCAAAAGGAGAGCCCCTCCTCTGAGACCCTGAGGGGATGAGCACCCTGCTGCGGGAGGAGGTGAGGGGCCGGCAGGTGTGACCCTCCCACAGCCCCGCGCCCAGCACGAGAGGAGGGGCCTCTGAAAGGGCTGGAAAGGCTCACAGCCGGGAGCTGGCGTGCATTTAGGGAAGCTCAGCTGCAGCCCATGCTCAGGCCCTCAGGGCCAGGCAGGATCTGGAATCAGGAGGCTAGCAGGGGCCAGCTGGGCCTGGCCTGGCCTGGCCTGGCCACGTGGAGGAAAAGAGGAGGCCACGGCTGATGCCCGAGGAGCCAGTGGCAGGAACGAGGGAGAGGTCCTGGAGAGGTCAGGAGTATAGCCCGTGAGTGGCAAGATGGCTCCAGGTTGGGAGGGAGGGTCTCAGTGCTGGAGAGACCACTTGTGGTGGGGAGAGGGGCAACCACAGACCTACCTCCAGAGTTGCTCAGAGGGAGCCCCTATTTTCTGAGCAGCCAATAGGGAAAGGGCTGGTTACCACCTGGGGAAGGGGGTCACCTTCTCACCCCACAGAGCCCACCCCCACAACACGAGGTCGGCCACACGCCAACATCACCAAATACTATCTCCCGATGGGGAGGAGCCTTCATTGTCCGGCGCGCCAATGAGCCCAGAGCTAACACACCTGCCGAGGGGCTGTCCCGGGCATCTACACTGGAAGATGTCTGGAGATAGGGAAGCCATTGCCCTAGAGACAGTTCTAAACAGAAACTGGGCGCTGCAGGCACAAAGATAAAAGGTTCCGACTTCGAAGAGGTTTATTGTTGTTACAATATTTTCAAACTGTAGAGTTTGAAAACAGGGGCTCCCTGGTTTATTCCAAATGACCATTGAGTCCTCAAGTCCTTGAAGCCCCTCTCCTACAGGCCCCAGGTTTCCCTTACAGGGGCAGAGGGTGCCCCCACTGACGGTCTCCTCCGGGTCCTGACCCATCCCTGGCTGGTGCCCTGGGCTCCCCACAGCCTCCTGCTTCCCCTCTACCACCAGCGGGTCCGTTTGTCCTCAGGAAACACCATCAGCCTGGCAGGGTGTAAACCAGGCAGAAAACCTGCCTGAGCAAACACAAGCGCGCCTTTAGGTCCCTTCCCACAAGGCCCTTGCACGGGGTCGGCCGGGAGGGCTGACTAGGTGCCCTTTCCTTTCTCACTCAGTTCCCAGTCAGAGCACATGCCCGATGCTCATCCACTGAGCCATGCTGGCCGCAGGTCGGGCTGACCCTCTCTTTCTTGGTTCAGAAGGGCACAAAGCTTCTGCAGCTGGCGGTGCAGCCCAAACGTGCCCTGTAAAGACCCTGCCTCCAGACCCACGTCAGAGACCTGGGGCTGAGAAGGAAGCAAACTTGACCAGCCAGAGTTGGCAAGGAAAGCTGTGCCAATGTGATGCTTGAGTCCCAGGCTAGGGGGGATTCTAATGATTTCATTGTTTTTGTGTGTTTTTAAGATACGTTTTTATTGATTTCAGAGAGAAGAAGGGAGAAAGAGAGATAGAAACATCAATGATGAGAAAACATCATCCATCGGCTGCCTCCTGCATGCCCCCTACTGGGGATCAAGCCCACAACCTGGGCATGTGCCCTGACTAGAAATCAAACCATGACACAACCACTGAGTCATACCAGCCGGGCTAACAATTTCATTCTTGCAACGTTCTCATGTTTGTGATCATTCTTTCGGCTCCACCAGAATGACTTTTCCAGAGATAGTCAACCTGTGTTTCAGGCACCTACTGTGTGCTACATGCTAGCAGATAATGGGAACAGCCGAAACCAGTTTGGCTCAGTGGATAGAGCGTCAGCCTGCAGAAAATGGGAACAGGATAGGCTCACTCCCACGGGAGGACAGACACTAAACAAACAAAAGTGTGCAGAGCTCCAGGAATGGGGGGTGGATACAATACCAGTCTTGCTCCATTCATTCAGATCTGACCACCGAAACCTTCTCCACACATTACCAAATGTTCCAAGGGGCGTGTGTGTGTGCAAAGCCACCCCAGGTGAGAACCACTGACTTAGATGTACAGGGAAGAAAGTACAGGAACTGAGGGTTGGGCAAATGGATGCAGCCGTTTCAGGATCCAGGGGAGTGATGTCAGAAATCATGGATGTGGGAGAACCAGAGAGGTCTCCAGGGGACTTCCAGGGGGGTGGAGGCCGAGGTGCGGGAGGAAAAAGAGAGAGAGAAAGGGAAGGAAGGGGGCTGGGTCAGGGAAGACTTCAGGGGCGGGGCCTGGTGGCAGGCCCCCTCAGGACTTGGGGGAGGTGGCTGACACTCCTCTGGGGAGAGGAGTCACGTTGGGCTCATCATCCGGGTCAGTTGGCTGAGACCCAGTTTCCAGCTGGGTCGATGGCTATTGACTCCATGAGTGGGGACAGATGCCGCCTCTCAGCAGCCTCTGGAAGAGCAGCGGTCCGTGGTCAAAGCCCCTCCAGGCATCGCTTTCCCTGCCATCCATCTCAGAACAGGACATAGCGCTGGCCTGGATTCCACCGCCTCTGATAGGACAGGGCCTCCTCCTGCACCACCCCACCCCACCCTGCCCCCGCCCCGGCCCTGGCCCTCCTCATGCCAGTGCAGGGGCCCTGGACCCAGAGCGGCCTGAGCTCCAGGGGTGCCTGAGCTGACTGGGGGGCTCTCCGCCTCTGCTGCACAGCAACGTGGGTTGCTGGACAGCATAGTGGGTTTAAGATTTTCCTCTGAATCTTGGGAGATGTGAGTGAAACCCCAACTGCTGAGAGAGTCTGCCAGGTTCCCAAGGAAGAGATAGCCCAGGCTGTGACCACCAGACAACCATGAACGTCTAAGCTGTCATCCAGGGACCGAGGCCCCTCAAGGTGGCCTCCTGGCGGGCAGACAGCGGGAGAGAAGCTTGGAGGAAAGAGGGATGGCTGGCCCGTGTCTGGCCTGCTCTCCTTAAGAGGTAATGTCCCCCCACTACATGCAGAGAGGCCCTCATAGCCTTCTCTTTTGCTGGGGCTGCCCCTCTAAGAACAGCAACAAGCAGCAGAGCTTTTTCCCGGTTATGAGCCTGCACTGTGGCATCAAACCAGCCGGTTCTATGACATGGTAGCTGTTCCCTTTGAGTCAACAGGTCACCCTCTCTGTGCCTCAGGGTCCACATCTGTAAAATGGGCTCAAACACAACACCTCCTTCCTAGGGTTGGTCTGGGTGAGCATGAGCTAATCCAGGCAAAACCTATAAAGCGAGCTGGCACCCAGCAAACACTCAGAGGGCATTGGCTGCTGCTGTGGTTCTCCCGGGAAACCCCTTCCCGAAAAGCCAGCACCTGGGGCCCGTGGCCAAACCCAGCAAAGCTCCTCCCTCAACCAAGTCTCCAGATCTAGAATAGATATTTCCATAAGGACTTGCCATTTGCCGAGAGGGAAAGCGGTTGGCTAGGCAAATTAAGAGGATAAATGATCCCGGCCGGTGTGGCTCAGTGGTTGAGCATCAAACCATGAACCAGGAGGTCCAGGTTCGATTCTGATACAGGTTCGATTCTGATAGATCCTCCCTTTCCCTCAGTTGATGGACAGACATAAATCCCACCTGCAGCCAGACATTCCTGAGCTCTGAACCACCAATCAGCACCTGCCAAATACCCTAAGCCCCTAATCAATCAGTGTGTGCTGAGTGCCCTAAGCCCTGCTCCCTATCCTTAAAGATGCTTGTACCCCAGCCCCTCGCTCGCTCTCTTCCGCACCTCTCCGTGGAAGCAGCCGGCAGGGGTACCCTTCCCTCCAATAAAGCCTGTGTCCTGCCACCCAGTCTCCGGTCTACCTTCTCTATTTAATCTATCAGATTCCCAGTCAGGCCACACGCCCCGGTTGTTGGACTCAATCTCCAGAGTGCAGTGTGCAGGAGGCAGCTGATGGGTGATTCTCTCTCCTCACTGATGTTTCAAACTGA